ACTGCCAACCTTTCAGTTAGCAGCTGAACGTTTAACCGTTGCCACACCAGGGCTTCTGGGAAGGATGGCAAGGGCTATAGGAGCTATTTTTTTAAATAAGCATTTGACAAGATGATTGCCTTGAGATAACAGTAAGAGCTAATGCTTCTACAGTTTTTACTTTGTGCCAGATACCATTCTAAATGCTTTACAGATGAGAACTCGTTTAATTCTCAGAACAACTCTATGAGGTACTTGGAAAATTGGTGCCCAGACAGGGTAAGTAACTTGCCCAAAATTACACAGCTAGTGAGTGGCAGAACTAGATTCAAACATGGAATCCTGGCTCCACAGTCTGCTCTTAACCACTATTTAATAATTCCAGGCAGAATATGATAGCAGCAAGTAAACAGATAGTATATGCTGAAATGATTCTCTCTTTATGAGATCACTTAGTCTGGTATAGTCAGAGGACTTTATGGAGGAGGTGGAATTTCAGCCACATCCTAATGGATGGGTAAGAATTGATTAATTAGCATTTTCATTATCCTTGACAACCAGCCTGGGGCCCTTGTTACATTCAGGAAGGGGATGTCATCAGCTACTCCATCAAGATGGGAATGAAAGATCCTTATGAAGACAATGAGCTTTAGGAGATCTGTGAAACCTTGAAGTGGTTTCCAAAGTTTTAAGCATATATGCATGTTTTCTGGGGATCGATCATAAGATGCCAAAGGGGCCCATACTCGTATTAATTCAGGATGAGGTGGTGGGAACCTCGATATGAGTCCAGAAATGGACCTGAAGTAAGGTGATTATACTACTTGTTTGCCCAGGACAGCCCCAGGTTACACCTCTTGTCCCGGTGTCTCTATTAAGTGTTGTTATTTGACTAACTCATGACAACCTTATGTATAACAGAAGGAAACGTTGCCTGTCCTGTGTCAACTTCATGAACTTTCCTATGTTTGAGCCCATTGTTGAGGCTATTGTGTCAGCCCATCTCATGGAGGGTTTTCCTCGTTTTCGCTGACCCTCTGCTTTACCAAGCGTGATGTCCTTTTCTAGCAGTTAGTGGTGTATCCAGAGTAAGCAAGATGAAGTCTCGCTGTCCTCGCTTCTAAGGAGCATTCTGGTTGTATTTCTTCAGACTGATTTGTTTATTCTTCTGGCAGTCCACAGTATATTCAATATTCTTAGCCAACACCACAGTTCAAATTAGTGCCCCTTTTACTCCAAAATGTCCTGGTTTGCATGATAAATTATGTGGTCACTCTAGTTTTAGGAGGTCTCTGAGACCTTGAAATGAGTTTCAGAGTTTTATGGATGTGTGCATTTTTTCTGGAGATCATAAGATGCCCAAAGGGGTTGGTCCATCCTTATATTAAGAACCACTGGCACAAGGAGTCTTTTTGTCGTTGTTGTTAAAGGAAAATGAATCTGGCCTCTGGGTGCCGCACTGAATCCAGTGAGGTGGAGAAGATGTTGGTAAATAGGAAACAAGGTAGGAGGCTGTGGTGATAAGGGCCTGCACTGGATGGGAATACAAGTTTGAGACAAACACCAGGGCTTCACAGGTGTTGGTAATAAATCTTTTTCTTAAGCTGGGAGATGAGTATTTTACTGCTCACTTCATTATACCTTCCAAATGTGATATACTTTTTATTAAGAAATATTTTATAATGAAAACACAAGACCACCCTGAGGGAGTAGGTGAGAAGTTCAGTCATAGGCTTTGGAGTTCATGTGTGACCTTGGGCAAGCTGACCTCTGTAAACCCCAGACTGCTCATTGTGAAGCAGGGAGAATAGTAGTATCTCTCCCAAAGATTGCAAGGGTTAAATAAAATCCACATAAGCCACTTAGCCCATAGGAAGTGCTCTGTAAATATTGGTTATGATTCTCATCAAAAAAATCCCCCTTTACCTCTGTTGGAGCCCTGGTGGCGTAGTAGTTAAGAGCTCAACCTGCTAACCAAAAGGTTGGTAGTTGGAATCCACTGGCTGCTCCTTGGAATCCCTATGGGGCAGCTCTACTCTGTCCTATAGGGTTGCTATGAGTTGGAATCGACAGCAACGGGTTTGTTTGTTTCTTAACCTCTGTCAGTCAGTTAAACAAAAGTGCAGATTGATCCAAGAGTTTGGAAGAGGGAAGGAATAGAGGTAATGGT